TCCGTCAGCAAGAACACAGAATACCAGACCAAGCAGGCTCAGGGGATGGTCCCAGAACTCTGAACCACATGTAAAAGAATATTTAGAAGGTTGGAAGGCTTACAGCTAGGGGAATTTGTAGCAGAAGCAAGAAATCCATTGCTTTCTAATTTAAGATGCTCAGCTGCTACCAGAGCCACCATCTTGGGAGAGACCAAGCAGAAGAAGGATCAGAGCAGCCATAGACACCTGACAGAAGCACGGAGATAAAGGTGTAGACACTCTTTTTTTTTTGTATCTGTTCATTGGTATCTCGCTGTCTGCACACCTCCATTCAGGTAACTAGAGGGTGTGCCTGAGCAAGTGGACACCCCACCCCCATCATCGGAGGGTTCTACTATGCATGTGCACATATCTTGAAATTTAAAGTGACAGTTTCCACTTAAACCCAAACAGCAGCACAAAATGGCCACAGCCAACCCCAAACTGTTTATCACTAGGAAAAAGGCCTGAACAGGGATTGTGGAGTGGGACAGGCAGACTAACAAGGAAATAGGCCAAAAATTAAATCCTGAGTTACATCACAACAACCAACAGTGGCATCTTGAAATTTCTCAGGAAGAACAGGGAAGCCCATCTCCTGATCACATCTACCTGGAGGCAATAAGATAGCATAAAAAATACCAAATACACACTCATCTAAGCATTAAGGCCACAGATAACTCCTGAATATGCCCCCCAAAACAGAAGCAGATGACCATATCAGCACATGTCCAGAAACAAGATAAAGTGACTGAGACAAATGAGCTGGAAGTAGACCTACACTCCATACTGGAAGATTGGCAGGTTTTGGAAACGCCTGAGAAGGAATTCAGAAAAATGATTATAAAATGTATCAGAACACTATACAATGGAGTTGAGAAAAATAAGGGAGAAGTCAGGAAAGCACTACAGGAATAATCAAATATGATAGGTGCAGCATTGCAAACCATTCAAAACCTACAGAAAGCAGTCCAAATGATTAATAATAGAATATCAGAAATGGACAATACACTGGAAGGGCAAAGGAGTAGAACTGAAGAGCTAGAAGCCAGAACTAGTGAGCTAGAAGATAAATCTCTCAACACTATTAAGATAGAAGAGCAAGCACAAAAAAGGATAAAAAAAAATCTGAAGAAGGACTAAGTCATGTTGGACAACATGAAGAGGAATAACTTAAGTATTATTGGCATTCCTGAACAGGAAGAATCATATAAGTCCACAAAGGAGATAGTTCAAGAGTTTCTGGAAGAAATATTCCTTAACATCCTGAAAAAATGAAAAGATAAGCATTCAAGAAGCTTAATGAACTCCAGGAAGGATAGACCCTAAAAGACAATCACCAAGACATATCATAATCAAAGGCCCCAAAATCAAGGATAAGGACAGAATCCTAAAATCAACTAGGGAAAAGAGAAGTGTAACATACAAAGGCAAACAAATCAGATTAAGAAGAAGACAATGGGGAGACATACATAATAAAACCCTGAAAGAAAAAAAAAAAATGCCACCCAAGAATCCTCTACCCAGCAAAGCTGTCAATCAAATACCATGGTGTAATGAAAACATTCCAGGATAAACAGAAGCTAAGGGATTTTGCCAAAGCCAATACTACTATGAAAAAAAATCCTAAAGGAAGTTCTGTGGACTGAGAACCAACAAGAACAGACAACAACCAGAGAATGACGTACGTGACAGCATCACCCTGAACTCAATCAACAAATGGAAAAGTCAAGAACAGAATACAATTATAAGAAAAGAGAATCTGGGAGGTTCAGTCTATGATCAAAACAATTACAATGTGAAAGAAGGTAAACACAGTTCCCTCAAGAAATAAGAAAAGAAAGGAGATGGGGCTAGCACTCATGTGGTACAATAGCGAATAATTAATATCAGGATTGACTGTGAGGGTTGGAAATGTAAAGGTAGATGTTTTGTAGCAAAAGGAAGAAAATGGTTGATTTTGCAGGCCAGGAGTGGAGGATCCTGGGATCATCAAGGGAGAAGAGCAGAGTGCAGGACCCTACCCAGAGATACAGTGATGCCAGAGATAGAGGCAGAGAAAATGACGTGGAGAGATGGAGCATCTGGGAACTCTAGACCCAGGGGGCTGGGAACTCTAGACCCAGCAGCTGCAAACTTTAACAACCAGGAGGCAGGCTTGTGGGGTGTACCCTTTGGTTGGTTGATGAAACATGGAGGGGATTGTAACCATCACAATGTAATGATATACAATAGGATGAATGTAAAGCTAATGTTTTCCCATGTAAACTATCACATAATTCATAATAAAACAGCTTAAAAAAATGAAGGAAAAGAAATTCATTTGACTCTGGGATTTGATATCTTGCCTATCTGTTTAGGGGAGAGGAAACCATTTATAAAAATATGATGGCAATGGTGTAATGATGGGATTAACGCAAAAAATGACACAAGGCATTTTGTATTGTTAGAATGTTTTACTTTTTATGAGAATGAGATAAATGTGACTATGGAACAAAAGAATAATGAGAAATAATGTACCCATATAAGTTATCATTGAACTGTTTCTCAAAGATTAGAATAGTCAGAATGCAGTGGAGAATATGCTAAGGTATTAAAAAATGATACAGTAACCATTATTGATTTGGGATCTCATAGAAAATTTTTAACGAATTGTTCACTGGACCTTACAAAATACTCATTGGGAGTTTTTCTGGAATGAGTCATAGTAAGGCCATCTATGAATTCAGAGTAAATAAGACTAAATACTTACAAGCCTGTGTTCAATTGCCATATATCATCGGTATAGGAACAACAGAGATAACTGACAAAAGTCTGACTTGACATTCCTGTAAACTGTATACTTGTTTGAATCATACGCTTTATAACAAAAATATATGTCTATTATCTTGTTAAAGGCTCGATTGGGAGTTTGGCTTCCTGTTAATCTAACTAGGCCCTGGGAACAAAATGCGGAAATACATGCATTAATGAGAATGTTGGGTAAAGTGCTAGGCAGAACAAAAGAGTTTATTGGAGCCCTTGTAGCCATTATCCTTGGCCTTGTAGCTACATTTACAGTTGCTACAGTAGCAGGAGTGGCTTCAAGTCAAAGGATTAAAATGCTGAATTCGTACAAGACTGACAGCAAAGTGCTCATCATTTATGGAGTCAAGAAGATAATAGAGAAATTGTTTCTCAAGTATATGAATTGCAACAATCTGTAAAATGGCTAGGAGAACAAATTGTAGCATAAGAATATAAAAATTCCCTTAAATGTGATTGGCAGTACAATGGTTTCTGTGAGACCCCAGCAGAATATAATTGTAGTGAAATAAGAGTGGCAAAAATATTAATAATCATCTATATGGTTTCAGAGGTAATATGTCTGTAGATATAAAGAAATTAGAAGCTCAGCTGAATCATACCTTTAAACAGTATATACAAATTAATCATGCTTCTGACGTAACTGAAACATTTCTTCAAGCCATTCAGGGATTTAATCCTAAGAATTGGTTTCATAATTGGGAAAGCTCTATTATTGCTGGAAAAATCCTATTTGTTATTGTTCTTCTTTACTGTGCTTAGTCTGGAAATGCATACAACGAGGATTAAGCTTTATGAACAAATCACAAGGAGTGTTTCTATTGCTTGCTTTGTCAAAACAAAAAGCGGGAGATGTAGGAAGAACAGGCATGTGTGAACCCCACTCTAAGGGAGTTCTCAAACCAAGGAATGTCTTGATGAGAACCACAAGGAAAACCTTGTATGCCAAAGATTATAGGAGCAAAACACACTGACTAGGTGGCTGGGGGAGTGATCTAAAATGAGGAGAAAATGTGTGTGCACAGGAGCTCTGGTAGCATAGTTGTTATGAGTCAGGCTGCCAACCTCAAGGTCAGCAGTTCGAAACCACCAGCGGCTCCGCAGGGGAAAGATGAGGCATTCTGCTCCCGCAAAGATTTACAGCCTCAGAAACCCTGTGCAGGGTCATTATGAGTCGGAACCGACTCCACGGTACTTAACAAGAACAAAAACTGGTATCTAGTAATAACAAACCTTAGCTTTGTTGTGGTGCCTGGATATGCCTCCTGACTAAGATTGTACTTAAAGCTGTATTGTATGTAATAAACTCACTCGTGACTGACCATCTCAAGTCCCCTGTCACTTTTATTCCCCGTCTGCCTCCGGAGACTCGCCTCATGCAGGCTGGTCTTACAGAAGACAAGTCGATAAAAAGCATGCAAACTAAGGCACGGAAAGAATGGAAAATAAAACAAAAACAGAGCTTAAAAAAACATGTGAGACAATATCAAATTGTCTAACATGTAATTGGAGCCCCAGAAAGAAAGAGAGAAAATTGGACAGGACAAATATTTTAAACAATAATTACTGAGAATTCTTATAAACCAAAGAAAGATAATCGACTCACAGATTCAAGAAGCATAGCAAATCTTGAACACAATAAATACAAAACAAAACTAGGCACATAGTCACACTGCTCAAAATCA